CAGAGATGGCTAATAAGAGCCGTCTTGCGTGGAAACAAGCTATAAAGACCTTACAAAAGGGCTGAATTTAATTGGATCAGACTTGTGCAGCAATTTATCCCTGAAAGGTTTGTTGAAAACAACAGTCAGCCAGCTGGCAATTAGTGGAACCCTGATGGTCAAAGGTGGGGTAACTTAGAGGAGTGTGGCTTATAGCTAAGGACAGTCTTGTGAAAGAAATCCTAGATTTATTAGTAGGTTAAAGTTATGAGAAGGTAGAAGAACCTTTCACACAGAAACACTGGAGGAAGGAATGGACCACTGTAAGCGTGTGGCTGGAGATCCACAGAGGTCATGACCTTGGAAGTCCTCTTAGTGCCAGGATTTGGGGATTCTAGTCACTAGTAATTTCCTCCTTCATTTTTACCTTCTTTTCTATCTTTTAATGCTTCCCTGCCAGACCATTGGGTTAAGAACAAAAGTTAAATTTGTTGTTTGGAAGGTTAATACATGCAGATGGTACCAAATACAAATTTAAAAGGGTAAACTTAAGTCTCCTCCCCTCCTCTTTCCCCTCCTACCTAGTGTTTCCCACAGGCAGTTCCTATAATGATTTGTTTCCTTCCAGAAGTGTTCTATTCACAAGTAAAAATATATGAACATGTTACTTAAAAACACACAATCACACACAAATGATAACATACTCTACAGCCTTGTTATTTCTTTTTTTCACTGAACAAAATACATATGTACTTATGGAAGATGAACATTTAAAAAAATTATAAATAATTCAGATGTAAAAAGATAGAAATAATAATGTAATGACTATCTGCGTTTCAGCTTAACATCTGCCAATTTAGTTCTTCTTCCCTAATATCTCCTTTTCCCCTTCCACCCAAGGGTAACTACTATCCTAAATTTTGTGGTTACCATTTCCAGGAAGCTTTTACTACATATGTGTGATATGTCCCTGAACAATGCAAAGTGCTATTTTGCTTGTTTTAAAGTTTGATATAAATGATACTGTTCTGTAGTCTACAGTTTTTTGCTGTCCCCATTGTGAGACCGATCCATGTAGATGCGTGTATCTATGGCTCATTCATTTTCACTGCCGTGTAGATTTCTGTGGATGAGTATATCACTATCTATTCTCTTGTTTCGTCATAAAATTTGTTTCTATCTGTTTGCTTTTTGCTTTTATAAATAATGCTGATTTGAACACTTACGCACACATATGAGAGTTTCTCTACAATAAATACTTTGGATGGAAGTAAGTCTTGTGCATTATCTTCAACTTTAGTTCATTCTTTTTATTCTTTCTCCCTTCTTTGAATTGGCTGCCTAGAATTCCCTTCTATTAGCATTTCATAATTCAATTAGCCAGTCTTCTAGTGATGGACAGCTAGGTTGTTTGCAATTTTTGCTGTAATATATATACTCTTTTTGCACATGTGACAGTATATCTGCAGGATAAAATTGCTGGGTCAAAGTGTTTTAATGAGGCCAGTTATATCATTTTGTAATTATTTTTCTAATTAAATGAGCTCATCAGGTGACAGCATCAGATGTTTCATTAATTAAAATGTTTCAATCTTGACAGTGTTTTTCAGCCCTGAATCCCCTATGTAACTCAATATTCAGTAGTATTTTTTGTAGCATGTACTCTCTACCCCAGTCCAGCCCCAAGTATGGACATACTTTTATGAAATAGGTTTATTAATAATTTTTTGAATAAAAACATTATTTTGGAAGTTCATAAGTTTAATATTTACTATACAAATGAATATAAGCCTTCTCTGATAGGATTTTCAATTTGAATGTATCTTATCTTACTATAAGATATATACTAATCAATGTATTGTAAGGCTCTAGAATAGACTGTGTAAGTTATCAGCACAAGGGTCAGCAAACTACAACCCAGGAGCCACATCTGGCCTACTGCCTGTATTTGCATGGACCATGAGCTAAGAATGTTTAAAAATTTTTTTCGTTTCTTCTTTTCACTTTTAAGCGGTTGAAAAAGACGAAGAAGAATATATTGTGACATGTAAAAATTATAAAATATTCAAATTTCAGTGCCCATAAATAAAGTTTTATTGGAACACAGTCATGCTCATTTGTTTGTGTCTTGTCTGTGTGCTTTTCTGCTACGGTAGCAGAGATGAGTGAGTAGTTGCAGTAGAGATGGAGGTAGTTCTCTCATTGCTTCAAATTGCTGCTTCGTGTACTACACATAGCAGTGACGCATCTATAATTTGACAGTCTTGAGTGCCACGCACATCACCATACTGTGACATTTAAAAAAATTACCAATGCTTACCCATCATATCAAAACAAGAAAAGTAAAGTGGACTTTGAATGTTATGCTTTTTAACACAGTGGAATATGGATTATTTTACAAAATTTGATGACAGATCATTGTGGTTATTATGCAGTGATGTAATAGCTGTGCTAAAGAATACATTACCGTACTAAGCACTCACAACAATATTGCCAACTCACAGGAAAGCAATGGTCAGAAAAATTAGAAAATTTGCGATAGAATATCTCATCACAGCAGAATTTCTTCACAAAAATAAAAAATTCAAATGAGGCTGTAACCAAAGTGAGTTTCAAAGTGGCGCATGTGTTAGCCAAGCAAGTAAAACCATTTACCGATGGAGTTAATTAAATCATGTTTAATTGCAGCAGCCAAAGGTATATATCCAGAGAAATAGAATGATTTAAGACCATTAGGCTTTCAACAACAATTGCTTGAAGGGTTGAGGACACTGGGAACGATATTAATAGTCAAAAAGCAAAGCAAATTGAGTAGTTTTCCTTGGCTCTTGATGAGTTGGCAGATGTTACTGATACTACCCAGCTGTTACTTGGAGTCCTTGCCAAGTTTAAAGTGACTAAAGACTTGGCCTCTGCGAATAGTCTGTGTGGAATAAGTACAGACAAGAACATTTTCAAACAAGTTGAGGAGAAACAAATTCAGTACAACCTGAAGTGGAATTGCCTAAGATGTGTGACAGTGAATGATGGTAAAAATATGTGTGGAGGAGAAGGCTTCATGGATAAATTTACAAAGCTTGTGAAAATGTAAGGTCTCTAAAGCCTATGGTTATTTATTTTATTATTCATCACCAGAAAATATTTGAATCTGTCTGTATCATTATTTTACTGAACCAGTAGTGTCAACAGTGAACTTTGTTCGCTCTCATGGACTTCGCCATCAGTTCTGTGAATTTTTGTCAGAAATAGGAACTGAATATCCTGACTTGTCCTACCACACAGCACTTCTGGAGCTTAGCAATGATAAAATTTTGTTGTAATTTTTTTTTTTGAGCTCAGGAACAAAATTGAAATTTTCCCAAGTGAGAAGAACTGCCCTCAACCACTATTTTCTCTTTGAAAATTAGTTTTTGCTGCAAACTTAATGTTTCTTAATGAATTCAAACTCAAATTACAAGACAAAACAGCTCTTATATGCAAAACTTACATTGCACTCATCACTTTGATGACAATATTTGAACTACAGGTAATATCAAGCTCATTGAGGGGCGTCCGCCTATCGTGTGATTGAAAGTGATTCATCTGCAATGTAGTGATACGCAATAAGGCAAATATCAATGGGCAGAATCTAATAGAATTCCGTAAATACCTTCCAAGTGATGAATATGCTCCATTAAAATTATGTGTTGTGGATTGGTATCAGTGTTTGGTAGTGTCTAGGCTGTTGAAAGGAAATAGTTAAGATAAAATATATAAAAGCTCATTATAGGGGCTGGCCCTGTGGCTGAGTGGTTAAGTTCGTGCGCTCTGCTGCAGGCGGCCCAGTGTTTCGTCGGTTCGAATCCTGGGTGCGGACATGGCACTGCTCATCAAACCATGCTGAGGCAGCGTCCCACATGCCACAACTAGAAGGACCCACAACGAAGAATATACAACTATGTACCGGGGGGCTTTGGGGAGAAAAAGGAAAAAATAAAATCTTTAAAAAAAAAAAAAAAAAGCTCATTATAGATCCACATTAACAGATGTGGATATTTGCAACTGATTTTGATGATAAGGAACACTAACATTGAATCCCAGTTATCCCCAAAAAAGGAGTTACATTCTCTTCATCACACCTGTATTAGCAAAAAAAAAGTACTGAGTTATTGTTATTATAGTTTTAATTTCATCAATAAACGTTTTTTGGAAATTTGTTTTCTTTCTTTCTATATATAAGTACCTGCCTAGTATCCTCAATTTTCCTTTTGGCCCATGAAGCCCAGGATATTTCCTGTCTGCTCTTTATAGAAAGTTTTCTAATCCCTGGCTTAGAGAAGTGTGGCTCAGAGCAAACCATTTTCCTGTCTTTTTCAATAACATTTTTTTTGTTTTGTTTTAAGAGTACTATCTCTCGCAGCAAGGAAAATTGAGTATAGAGCATGTTACCTTTTAGAAGTTCTTGGTCATTATCCTTACAGGAGAGGTTTTTTAGCTTGTCGTTTATAATGGAATTTAATGTTAGAACTGCCTGTGGGAGGCGTCACTTAAGTCCTTCTAGATGTGACCTTGGGAAGCATACACATAGATTGAGCCCCTGCTCCAGGACAACCATTGTATGTATGTCTAGTTAAAGCATTGAAATTTGTTATTATTGCCTTAACCCTCAAAGTGGGCAGACTGAGTGATGGTACAGACTATATTTTGTAAGATTTGGGTAAGTTACATTTTGCTAAAACTCTGTATATTAAAACATTGTTGATACAAGAACAAATATATTTTTGATTTTTTTTTAATTTGCAACAAGAAAAATGTAGCTCTGCCTCTTTAAATGGGTTGCTGCTAATGCTTTTAAGCATGCACTACTTCATGAAAAATTTAAAAGTTGAATAAAAGTAGAAAGAAGGAAAAAAATTCACCCATGCCCTGTCTAAAGATATCCACTAGAAATATTTTGGTGTTTTCCTTTCCTGCTTTAAGTCGGTGATATTTTATGTGTGCTGTGTCAGTCGACCTAACAAGTGCTGATTTTTATTTTGAAGGAAAATTTGAGAATGGTGTTGCAGAAGGAATGGTGGATCCCAATCTAAACCCCATTTCAGCCTTTCGACTTTCAGTTGTTCAGAATTCTGCTGTTTGGGCCATTCTTAATGAGGTAAGACAATATATTAAATCAGTGAAACAACTTAGATTCCTCATTTCATATAACATTTGATTTCATATGTAAGGCCTTTCTGGAATTGAAAATTAAGTGCCTTATCGTACTCTTCACTATTTTGTATTTCAGATTCATATTAAAAAAGCCTCCAACTGATCATCTCCTAAGAAACCAGTACATTTTTTTCCTGTGAATTTGTTAATTAAAGATAGTTAAGCATGTACCTTTTTTTTTTTTTTTTACTTGAACACTACCTCTTGTGAAATCTACTGTAGATGAGATGATTGTCATTTCCACTCGGAAAGTGAGTCTCCCATGGATATCGTGTTCATTCGAACCTATGCTGTCCTCCAGTTTTAACTTGACTCAAACATTTTACAGTTACGACAGGCTGTTAATATGACTTGTACTATTTTGGTATTATACTAATACATAAGAGTTGTACATATTGTTACATTCCTTAAATTTGAGAAAAATTAATGTTAAATACATTTTATGAAGGGGGTACTTTTGAAGTTCATTTATTTTACTATTATGGACCCTCTTTTGTAGATTATCAGGGATTATATATATATATATATAAATATATAAATATACATAAAAATGTTATGGAGTTAATTTATTAGAAACACTTAAGAAGTACATATTTTTGTGCGGTAAATTTTTGAATCAATACTTTTTTTGGAAACCAGTTACCTTGCTTTTTTAAGTTCTTTCTATATTTTTCTTTGGAAATGCAAACGTTACAAATTAATGCCATTTTTCAAATGCACTGCCATTTAAGAATGATTCTAGACTGATTTCCTAACTGAAGTACTTTTATAATTGCAGTGATTGTGAACAAAATATTTTCAAAGGCATTTGCCATTCTTTAAAGCCAAGATTTTAAAGACCAATGTCCTTCTTGAGAGTTATTTTACTAAACTGTGTATGATGTACAGCCAAAAAATAAGTCTGATAAATTTTAATGTGCAGGGTGATGCTTTCAACCCAAATTATCATAGACGCAACTGATGACATTTCCTCTGATCTGTAGGATGACAGACTGTTTTTAATTTTTGTCTTTAGTTCATGAGTTAGATGCATTATCTCTTTTCTTGTTGATCCTTTTATATCTGCACTCATTATATGAGTTGTGACAAAATGTTTTCTAGGTAGTGCTGTTGTATGAGTCATAATTGGTTTAAAGAAAAACAAAATTGTGATACTGGTTTTTGTTGAAAGGTATTGTAGCAGCTGTATGTTTTTCCACAATGATTTATTCTATTGTGTTTATGAACTTATAAGTAAATTTGTATCCAAAAAGAATATTTATTAGTCTTAAACATGCAATTCCAAATGATATTACTATTATAAACAAAAATATTATTAGCCTTAGCAGTCAGTGATCTTTACAAAAGTATTTCACTTTTAAAAAATCCTGAATTATCAGCCTCAGTGCCCAGCCAGTCTGGTGTGCCCACGTGGGTTGCTGCTGATTCACGTGTGCGTAGAGCTTGATCCCTGAGCTTTCCGAGTAGCCAGTTGTGAGGCCTTGGGCGTGGAACTTACAGCTGGCTGGCTAGCCTGGAGGAGCTTCCCCTGGCTACCATGATGCGGAACAGAGAGCTTCTGAACAGCAGCATTTTCCCTGCAGTGTTATGAAGTGAAAAGGTCTGGAGACACCAATAGGGTACAGTTATTTCCATTACGCCATAGGGGAATAATTTTTAGTTACTTTTCTTGCTTAGAAAGTTATGTATTGTCAATAATGATTTTTATGTCAAAGTCCAGTTAAAATTTTCTTTGAGGTTTTTAAATTTGCTTTTCATTTTCTTTTTATTTTCTTTTCAAATTCTTTGGCTTAGTGCCTATAGGCAGATTTCATTGGAAAAGAAAAACCTTCCATATAAAATTTTAGCACCAGCTTAACATACTAAATTACTGTTGTAACCACTAAGTATCTGGAGGTGGATTTGCTTCCTAAGTAGCCAACTCTCATTTCAGGAAGAAAGGCTATGCTCTGAAAATGTAGGGGGTGACGGTTACTGCAGCTCCGTGCCATTTGTTGGGGCTTCTCAGTCTTTAGACTGAGTTTATCTAGCCAACTTTTTCCTGTGTTCATGCTCAGTCTCCCCTCCCGGACTTAGCTCATCCCTCCTGTTCTTGAGAATACTTTTAGCCAAATCTTATCCATCTTTCAAGGACTCTGTTGTGCACTCCTCCCCATGAATGTGTTTCCAGTGCCTAGTAGTGCCAAGAAGAGTGCCTGTCACACGGGAGAAGCCCAGTCTGTGTCTGGATGAGGGGACCAACTGTTCCAGCCCACATTCCTCTTTCTTTTTCTTAACTCCCTTTACATACTTCCATAGCCACACACTTACACACACACTCAGCTCTCTAGTTTTTGATTGTCTATCAGGAGTGTGTGTGTGCCTGTGTGCACATGTACGTGTGTGTTCTCTCTCTGACCAAACTTCACGCTCCTGAGGGCAAGCCTGTAACTCGTACTTCTTACCTGTCCTCCGCCGCAGCAGGTGCTCCTATGCTCTCATTGGTAGTTGCCCTCTCCTTCCCGCCCGCTTCTACACTAGACAATTAGAAGCAGCCATGCTTTCCTCAAGCAAGAAGTTCTCATGGTAGCCCTTAAGAGCAGTGGTAGGGAGTGAAGTATTGGGACAAATTAGAGGAGGTGAAGAGTACCTGGAACTGAGAGAAAGTAAATACTTGACCTTGAGAGGACACTGAACCACTTTTGCCAAGAGCGAGTGGGAAAAAGTGTCAAATGGTGGGACTAATTATTTATTTACACACACTCACGTATATATGGCATGGTTTAGCTTCTGGTATGTATTTCACGTAAACTGTTTAGACTCTAGTGCTGTGCTGTCCTGTACAGTAGCCGCTGACACACACTTCTCAGCCACACTAGCTACAGTTCAAGTGCTCAGTAGCCACATGTGGCTAGTGGCTGCTGGATTAGACAGCACAGATAGAGAACGTCTCTCATTGCAGAAAGTTCTGTTTGACAGAGTTGAGGCAACAGTGCTAATATGAACATTTTAGAAACCAGGATAACTCTGATTATGAGGTTAAAAGCAGACATGCAGAATATATCATAATGCAAATGATGATGAGTATTTTGGGTGAGAAGAAAAGGTTGAGGACCTATTTCTAGGATTCTAAGATCCAAAATTTCTCAGTTCTTTAAGTCTCATGCCTTCTTTATAGCATGCACCATACCATACTATCTAGTCAAAAACGAGCAACAATTGCAGGTAGTGTGACTCAAGAGCTTTAGAAAAAGAGAATGCAAATGGCTTATTAGCATACAGGCTATAGACACGTATGTGTATATTAATTCAATCATTGGCGATGCCTTTGAACAAAGGTATAGCTTTTCAAATCAGTGGTTGTACCAGTAAATAATTAGAAGGTGGTGTTGTTTTAAAAAGCTTCAGTAAAATTCTGAAGGCTTCTTTTAAGTCCATCATAATGATGAAAAAAGTTGTCTCCCAGCAATGCTGTCCTCAGAAACAGGCTTGGTTATATGGAAACAGCATGTTGGGAGAGACTGCTCTAATTAAAAGCAGTGTATATTTTTAGTAGCCAGAATTCTATGAATGACTCCCAATTGTAACCAAACTCAGTGGGTTTGTCTCTTCGTGAGTACGGAGCTGAAAAGCACAGCCAAGGCTGAAGTGGGTGAAGAAAACAGCTTCTTGCTTACACAAGCAATGGAGAACACCCGAGACAGCTCCCAAAGCAGTGCCCTGCCTCCCCAAGCCTGGTGCTGGTGTAGACTTTATACACAAGAGTGCAGAGGATATCTTACACCTGTGTAACAACTGGGCTCCATCAGGGCGCATGTGCAGGCTATTATGTAATGAGTTCAGTGTAACATGTCATTACGAACGAGGTCAGGGTACCCTGACATAACAGGTTCAGTGCAACATGCCACTACATAACAGGGTCAGGGAACATGGCATTACATAACAGGTCCATGGTAACTTTTGGACGCTTGGAGTGGGAGCAATTTGCAAGGGTCTTGCTGCAACCTAGTAAGTTTCACTGTAAGAAGGCAACATCTGCAAAACAGGGACATCAACCTCCGAAAAACAGCACATTTAGTTTTCTCCTTGTCTGGAAAGTATTTGACAGACCATGTTAGTTACTGATCAGATTCTCAGTAAGCCTTTCCTTGCCTGGTTCCCAGTCACAAATTCTTCCTGAGATGTTTTACTCTTCATTCTGGAGGGATACGGGACGGTGTTCAGTCTTCCATAACTGCTTCCTGCTGATCCGGGTCGTTGTCAGGGGAGTTAGACGACTAAAACTCTCGCACTGCCAGGCCAAGATCAGTTTCAGGGCTGTCTGAGGAGTTCTGCAATAGTCGGTACCGTCATAGAACCTTCGTCTGTAACTTGAATTGTTCCAACCAAGAACTAGCAAATCTAACATTAAAGATCCATGGGCCAAAAATTAATAGTAACAGAAGAAGTACAAGGGGGCCGATCAAAGGCAAGAACCAGGTTGCAGAGGGAATGGCCTTTTTCACAGCCTCCCATACCTCTGTGGCTGTACTACCTTTCTGATTAAAGCTGTGTAGCCATGTAGCTTGGTCAAATGTTTCCTTAATATTCACCTCAACTCCCCCTGCGGTATTTACCCATGTACAGCAGGAAGTTTTAGTTCAGTCAGCAGGTAACCCAAGGCCATTCTGTTGTCCAGCCCCATGTTGGCTAGTGAATCTAAGGATACTCCTAAGTTTTGCAGTGTTTTTCCTGTATTCCTGGCCAATGTTTCAAGAGATTTAGTTAGGTTCCTTAGGGTCATTTCATGGTATATGAATCCTCCCCAGGGAGTGGCCAGTCCCACTGTTAATCCAGTTCCTGCCAAGATCAATCCAGTAGCCCTTTTCTCTCTGGGATGGTGTTGGATGTGGTTGTGCACTGTTATACCTGTGGGACCCATCATTCCCATTGTACATTGTCCCACGTGTTGTGGGGAGCCGCAAAGGAAGACGTGTCCTGGAGGTGCATAGGCCTGTCGGGGCGCGGTACTGTTAAACCAGTTGAGTAATGTAAGGCCCCAACCGGGGGCATTGTCTGTGCACCTGAGAGATAACGGTCCCCCATGAGTTAAGTTGTATTTTATGGGGCCTGTGGGTACCCTTCCAGCTACCCGTGGAGACAGATAAGTGAGATCCCAGGATCTGAGTGGCCTTTGCCTTTGGATTCCTGTCCAGAATTTGCCCTGGTTTAGAAAGGTTTCCCTTGGGCGTTATACATACCTTTCAGTTTTAGGGCACCAGTCAGTTTCATTTGGGCTGCAGGATTGGGTAATATTAAAAGCGATGGGGTACATAGAAGATTGGTTTATGTTGCCCTTTGCTGGTAAACATCGGTGACAGGTTTCATTAATTGAAGTGCGGTTCAGATACATCACCCCCTCAGGGCCAGTGAGCTATGTTACTAGGGTAAGATTTAAACATTTTAGGTTTATGCCTGAGGAGCCCAATCTACTACAATAGAAGGGGGTCTGCTAAAAGCCTTTGGGGTTCTTTCAACGAGGCTAATACTGGGTTCTGATTGTATACAGTAAGTGACAGGCCATCAGCTTTTGGTTTGGGGGTGCCTATGGCATAGCCAGCATAGGGACAATCCATTACCCTTTGCTGTGATTCTAGAAAGGTGCACTATTGGGTTAGTTTCCTAGGGAATTAAAAGGGTCTGTGTTAATGCCCTTTGTGAATAATGGTAGATAAGGATAAGCTATAATAATAACAACCCGTAGACTTAGGCGTTACTTACCTCCGGGTCCTTGGCACCCTTCTTGAACAGGAACTTCAGGTCTGATGTTGGCTCACAGGAATAGGAGTTGGTGGGAACGGTGACAGTTTCTGACTTTTGAGCTTGTTTAACCGGAGTATGGTGGATCCAAGGGTCCGTACCTTGCAGTTTAAGAGAAGAGTGAGTGGTTAGTAAGACCAAATAAGGTCCTGTCCAAATGGGTTTAAGCTGGTGCTGGGGGGACCCAGACATTCAGGTTTTCAGGTACACCCACTCCCCTGGCTCACAGGGATGAAGCTTTATTCCTGTAGGGGAAGGGAGGTCCAGATGGATGTGTTTATGAAGGTTCGACATCACCTGCCCCACGTTAATTATGCGCTTTACAGCTGGTTCGATCTCTTTGTCAGGGTGCATTGTTGAGCCTGTATCACCTGGAAAGGCCCTTCCATAGGGCACCTCAAAAGGTCTTAGCTTAACCTTCCTTTGGGAGCAGCCCTGATGTGTCAGGGCAGTGGGCAAGAGCTGCAGCCCGTTGTCCTGGGCCTCTTGGCAGAGCTCAGCCAAAGTGACCTTCATGGTGTGGTCGGTTCTTTCAGTTTTCCCCGAAGATTGAGGTCTCCAGGCTGCGTGCAATTTGCATCGTATTCCCAGTGTTCCAGAAACTCTGGCAACTTCTCTTGATATGAAAGCAGGGCCATTGTCACTTTGGACTGACCTAGACAGTCCAGACCTTGGGATGATTTCTTTTATCAGGCCATTCATCACTTCCCCTGCCTTTTCTGTTCTGCAAGGAAAGGCTCCCACCCATCCAGGAATGGTGTCTACAGAACCCGAGAGATACCTAAGCCCTCCGGGTGCAGTTGGCATAACCGTCAAGTCCACCAGCCAGTCTGCCCCCCGCCGGGTTCCCCTGGACTGTACGGCTCTTGCCGGCGGTGGTATTGGTGGCCTGGCGTGTACATTGTTTTGTCGGCTGTGTACCATTGCTATGTTAACTTGTCTATTTCCTTTAAGCCCAGAGTTTTTATTCTGCCAGAAGCCAATTACACAGTTTCTTTCCCATGGTGAGTGGAATTGTGAGTGACCTTTCTCGTGGTCCAGGCTGTGTCTCTGAGTAGCCAGACCTTTCCCTTGCTGTCCATCACCAGCTTCCTTGAGAGAGGAGAGGTTTGGAAACTTGCCCTCTCAGCTTCCTCTCTTTCTTCTGGGGTGTTTTTGGGGTGAATTCATAGAGGGGTCGAGAGGGAATGAGGGCCGGTTGGAGAACCTGCTGTGTGAAGGCTGCTCCTGTGGCCGCTGCATCAGCCGAGTGATTTCCCAGACCCGCCTCCGACTCCCGCTTCTGACATCCTCAGCAGTCGACAGCCGCGGCCTCCATGGTTCACTGACTGCCGAATTAGACTGAGAACCTCCCTTCCTTGTTTAATTTCTTTACTGTCGGCTGACAACAGACCTGTTTCTTTCCACACGGCCCCGTGAGCATGACTAACAGAGAAGGCGTATTTGGAATCAGTCTAGATGGTCACAGTTTTCCCTTTTCCCAGTTCTGAGGCTTCTGTCAGGGCAGGAAGTCCTGCCTTGCGTGCTGATGTTCCTGGGGAGCGCGCCCTTGCTTCTCTGGTGGCGGAGGGAAACCACGGCACAGCCTGCTCGGCGTGGACCAGTAACAACAGAACTGCTTCCATCTACAGACCACACGTCCTCTGCGTTCTGCAAAGGGTCACTTCGGAGGGCTTTCCTGCTTGAACGTGCCTGATCCTCTAGCTCAGAGCAGTCGTGCACCAGAGGCTCCTGTGACACAGGAAGCCAGGTGGCTGGATTTAGGACCTGGTGAGGCTTTAACACTAGCTGAGGAGTGTCCAGCAGCGTCACCTGATACTGCAGTGTTCTGCCGCTCCTGAGCCAGTGGTGTCCTCTCGTTTCCAAAACATTTGAAACCTGCTGTGGGGTCCACACAGTTAGGGGCTGCCCCATAGTAAGTTTTGATGCCTCTTTAATTAACAGGTGGGTAGCTGCCACAGCCCACAGGCGAAGCTACCAGCCTTGAGACACGGTGTTCACTTGTTTTCAAAATAGGCCACCACTCTCTTGAAAGGTCTTAGTATTTGAGTGAATACTCCGAAGGCCTCTCCTTGTTTTTCGTGCACATATAAATCAAAACATTTAGTTAAATCAGGTAAAGCCAAGGTGGGAGCGCTCATGAGAAGCTCCTTAGTCATTGGGGGCCTGTTCGCATTGTCTGTCCCACTCAAAGGGACTGGTTTCTTGCCCCAACAACTTATATAGAGGATTTGCCATTAGTCCAAAATTAAGAATCCAAATGCAGCAGAAACTCGTCATTCTCAGAAACCCTCATAATTGTTTCCTGGTGGTTAGAGGGGCAATTGGTAAATGGCTGATTTCCTTTTTTTAGAGAAGGCTGCGTTGGCCTTGTGAAATTATGAACCCCAGATATTTCACAGTTTCCTTAGATACTTGTGCCTTTTCTCTAGAGACCGTATAACCGCCTTCAGCTAAAAAGTTCAGGACCACAACCGTGTTCCTGTCAGAGTCCTCCTTTGTGGGGCTGGCAATAAGGATATCATCCACATCTTGCAATAAAGTCCCACAACTTAATTTTAAGTGTCTTAAGTTTCTACCCAGGATTTCTGCAAAAATGGTTGGGGAATTTTTAAATCCTTGTGGCAACACAGTCCAACAATATTGCTGTTTTTCATGAGTCCCAGGATCCCCCCAGTCAAAAGCGAATAATTCCTGGGACTCAGGGTCCAAAGGGAGCAGAAGAAAGCATCCTTTAGGTCCAGAACAGTGTAGTACTTACTATCTCCAGGCAAGTTTGCCAGGAGGGTAAATGGGTTCGGGACTGCTGGGTGAATGTCCCTGACTGCCTCCTTCACAGCTCCGAGGTCTTGTACAAACTGGTGTTCTCCCATTCCGGCTTTCTTAATAGGCGGGATGGGGGTGTTGCTGGGGGATCTGCAAGGCCTTATTAATCCTCCCCTCAAAAGCCTGTTCAGTTCATGCAGAGTTCTAGCTGAAGCCTCAGGTTTTAGAGGGTATTGTTTTACCCGAGGCCGGTGGTCACTCTGCGTCAAGTCTACCCTAATAGGCTGGGCGTTAACAGCCCGTCCCACCTGCCCTTGCACCCAAACATTGGCGTCAGCCTGAGTTAAAGCATTTCCCGGAATGTCCTCAGTTAGGTTGGTCGGCTCATGGAGGAAGGCCACAAATTCTACTCCTCTTTTCCGGGAACCTGAGCTTTTATTTTGTCCTGCTGCAGACTTTTGGTGGCCCCCAATTTTGCTAACAGATCCCTCCCTAACAAGGGAATTGGAACTCTGGGTACATCTAAGAGGGGGTTTTCACACTTTGGAACCCATTTCACACGTCAGAGGCTCTCGGAAATGCTTTGTTTCTCCTTTTCCTGATACCCTTTTTATATACATTCCCTTTTGGATAAAGTGCCGTTTTTAGTGATCAAAACAGAGTGCATGGCTCCCGTATCAAGCAGGAACTCGATGTCCTCTCCTGCAGTATCTAAAGTAACCTGGGGCTCCTCGGAGGAAAGTTTGAGAGCCGCAGGGGGAGCCCCTTGGCCTTGTCAGTATTCCTCTCCAGTCGGGGGTATCTGGAAGGAATTGGGCTTGTCTGGCCTCTTCCCTCTCGGGGAGGGTGCGGGCATTCCCCTTTCAGGGTCCCTCCTGCCTGCAGTAGCCACGTCCATCAGGCCTCAGCCCTACAGGCCCCTTTGTGGTCCCGCATCAGGGCCGGGGCACTCACCGTGGTGAGTTCTTCCTTCCTCCCGGGTCAGCTGGAGCAGACTGCGGCTTGACCTCTAGCAAGGTTGCCTGCATCTTCATCTTCTTTCTTTCCTTTTCCTCTTCTGCCACATCCGGTTGTTGAAGACCTTAGAGGCAGTCTGCACCCACAGGGAGGGTGGGTCTCAGGACCAATGGCCAAATTTTGGAGTTTCCTCCGGATACCAGGGGCACCTGAGACATGAAAGAGGTTCCCAGCACTGTTGGGCTGCCTTCACTGTCAGGGTTCCAGGGGAGTATTTTGAAGGCATTCCCTCAGTCTTTGCATAAAGGCATCTGGCCTTTGCTGAATTTCCCTTAATTTATTCCAGTTAACAGGGGTTTTCCTGCTTAGCAGCCTCCATCCTCTTCAAGAGTGTGTTTCTAGAGTGTTCTAAGGCTGCCTTGCCCCCGCTCTATTGGGATCCTGGTCTGGGTCTGTGGTCGGCACTGACTGGTCAGCCACTTGCCAAATCTGGTGATTGGGCTGATTAGCATGTTGTTTATCTGCCTTTTTTCTGGCTTCAGCCAAAACTGCTGCTTTTTCTTCTCCCCTCATGGGGGTTGACAGGAGAGTCTGTACATCAGCCCAAGTGGGGCCGTGAGTGGAGACTATCCCCCTCGTTAAATTGAGGAGCTCTCCAGCGTCCGCCTGCAGACCCTGGGACTGTGCCTTCCAGTTGTAAAGGTCCGAGGTGCTGAGTGGCACACACACGTTTGTAGGTTCCCATCCCCAGCAGAGACCTGGCATAGGGGGAACATTCCAGTTTTCCTTGGATCGTAACAAGTCCCGTGTCTGGCGGTGCTGTCGGCAAGGGAGGGGAGAAGGGTTTAGGAGTGGCAGTGGATGGGGGCGGCTCCTTAGGAGCAGACTTCTGACTAGGAGGGTGAGGGGGCCCCAGTGGAGCCTGGGCCAGGGGAGCAGATGGCGTTGCTTCCCTGCCCCGTGTCCTAGTGAGTGGAAACAGGTCCTCATAGTTTGGAGGATTTTCTAGCACCAGGAAGGTATTCCCTTTTGGGGCAGGTTTAGTCTTAAATTTGGTCAATTTGTGTGTTTGCGGTAGTGCCTCATGTTGATGTAAAGCCTTGAAGCATTGTACACAGGGAATTTCTTCCCTTTTCTTTTACCTTTTGCATGAAAAGTCCAGTTATAAGATGGTATTAGATTTCAGTGACCCATTTTCCGGCTGCCTTTCCTGATTTCCTAAATTGTATTTGGGCCAAGCCAAGTATTACAAAAGAATATCCTCCTTTGTTTAGTCATGGGAGTACGTCCAAATAACTGCCAGCGATGGAGGAGGCACCTAGCTCGCTCTCCTTTGGTATGGCTGTTGTATTGCCCATGCTGGCATTACAGATTTGTTTCTAGTTCCTCAGGGGCAGTTAGTAGACACACAAATCCTGTCTTTCTAACCTAGATGTACCTAAAAGACTTTCCTACCAGTATCAGAGCTCTCTAGCAATATCATACACACACACACACACACACACAGGGGGCTCAGGGACGGACTGCTGAGCCTCCCTGCCCGGAACTCGGAGCTGCCCGTGGAGATCTCTCCCTAGGTTACAGAGGTTTCCTCGGTCAGGTGTCCCTGAGCAAACTCCCCTTCAGCCAGGACAGAGATGTCCCAGACCTGTAGCTGCTGCAGCCCTGCCACTTAGGACAGAGATGTCTTGCAGTCTTCCAGACTTTTACCTGCTTTAGCCAGAACAGAAACCAAACCCGGGAACCAGAATCTGCACAGTTTGTACCCAAAACTGTTCTTCACCCAGTTCAAGACTCTTACAGCCGATGCGTGGGTCTGGCACCAGTCACCACTCCAGGAGCACTCCCAAACACAGTGGTCCAGTGCAGCCACTGAGTTTGTCCAAGGGGGCGGCAGTGCAGGGCCAGCAAGTCAGGCGCCAAGGAGCCCCTCCCTTCACCCTTCTCCAAGTCATTAGTGGCATAAGAGAGTTAGCCGGAGCCAGCTGCTGCTGCCCATTGCTTCCCCTGTGGAGGCTGTGACAAGGGTATCAGGCTTCAGAGAAGTCCCATCTGGGTCACCAAAAACTGTAACCAAACTCAGTGGGTTTGTCTCTTGGCGAGTGCAGAGCCAAAAACTACAGCCAAGGCTGAAGTGGGTGAAGAAAAAAGTTTATTGCTTGCACAAGCAATGGAGAGCACCCAGAATAGCTCCCAAAGCAGTGTCCGTCTGTGCCCCCACAACCCCTACTGCCCAGCCTAGTGTCCGTGTAGACTTTATACACAAGAGTGCAGAGGATATGTTACACCTGTATAAACCACCGGGCTCAAGCAGGGTGCATGTGCAGGCTATTACATAACGAGTTCAGTGCAACATGCCATTACATAACGAAGTCAGGGAACATGGCTTTACATAACGTGTCCATGGTAACTTTTGGACACTTGGAGCAGGAGCAATTTGCAGGGCTCTTACAACCTTGTAAGTTTCACTGTAAGAAGGCAACATCAACAAAACAGGGACATCAACCTCTGAAAAACAGCACATTTAGTTTTCTGCTTCTCTGGAAAACATTTGACAGACCGTGTTAGTTATTGATCAGATTCTCAGTAGCCCTTGCCTTGCCTGGTTCCCAGTCACAGTGACCTTCTATGATATCCTCGTGTGGGTGGAACCTGTGAATATGACCTCTAACTATGTTATACACCCAAACAGAGATTATCTGGGGGCTGCTAATCTAATCATGTGAGGACCTGAGAGGAGAATTTTCTCAGGCTGGTGGCAGAAGTCAGTAACTCAAAGCAGAAGGACTCAAGGCACCACTGCCGGTGTAAGATGGAGGAGGCCCGTGAGAAGAAGTGCAGATGGCTTTAAGGAGTGGAGAGAGGCCTCAGCCGACAGTCAAGGGAAAGGGAACTCCAGTCCCACAGCCACAGGAACCGAATTCAGCCAACAGTCTGAATGAGCTTGCAGGTGGGTTCTCTCTCTCCAGCAGATAAGAGCCCAGCCCCTACAACACCTTGATTCCAGCCTTGTGAGACCCTAAGCAGAGAACTCCATCAAGCCTGTCTGGACTTCTGGCCCCCAGAGTTGTGAGATAATAAAGGGGTGTTGTTTTCAGCTACTAAATTTGTGGTGATTTGTTATGCAGCAATAGAAAATGAATACAATATTTAAAAGAGGTGAAGAGGAAAAGTCTTCTTACTTGATTCCCTCTCATATGTTGGACATTTCTTGATAAACAAACACACGAATAAAGTGTTACACTAGCAAATCATATCCCTGGGCCTCATCTGGGATTTCTCTGCCGGAGATCTCACACAGTCTTCATTGGAACTCAGTTGGCAAAAACCTGCAGCATCTTATTAGTGTCCCGTAAAGGAACTGCTAGAATGAGATCGTAGGAGTAGCATCCCAACAGTGGATATGGAATCTTTTTCTGGAAGAGGTATTACGTTATGCTGATTCAGTCTGCTCTGAGCCTGTCAGTGTATTATTTAAGAATAATGAACAGTGTTTTTTATAGATGAAATATTAAGAGAAAAAAAGAAGTCTGCCTTTATGTAGAAATCATATAATCTGTATTGGACTTAATTTTTTCTAAACCAAAACTTATTGTCTGAGCACAGATCAGATCCTCTATGTGCCAACCAAATTTTTGTAGTTTGCGACTTTCAAAAATACCTCTCTGCTTCCAAAACATAAATTGCTCATGAAGCTTTTTATTTTGGTTTGTCCAAATTTTTGTGCTTATTTTTACTATATTGCCATAGCATTTATGTAAGAAAAGTAGAGCTGAAGGAAAAGAAAATGAGGCTAAGACTGTCAAAAGGTCAGAAATTTGATTCATAATCCTACCTTAGTGTTCTAAGGGAACTTAGCCAATTTCTTTATAGAAAAGGAAACTTTTGCAAGCTATGTAGCAGTATGTATAGTGTGTGAAATTGTTTGATAGTTGTAAAATTTTTTAATAATTATTAATCCTAACATATATGCCATGCTAACTGGTGTGCTTTATTTCTTTAATGTATGTGAACATGCACTGCTGTAAAGACGACCGCCCACAGTATTATTTTAAAAAGATATGTTAGGTATCACCAATACCTCTATATAAACTTTCCTCTCCTTACCTGAGACACTCCCGCCACCGGTTTGGGCACTAACTAGATCATTTTCAAAGGCACCAACAAGAAAGAGTTGGCACTCCAGAGCGTGTGTGAGTTGAAAAGTTAGAAGTCATTGTTCAAGAAAGTCAACTGAGTGTTTAATGGAAAGCACTTTGTGCCAAGCATCATTCCCACTGTTAACTTTGCAGTAAAAATGTCAAGAACAGTGGTGCTAAAATTGTTCTCAAATAAGGATTGTTTGTTGTGGGGACTATTTAATACTCTTGGGCCTTAGGGAGGCTATTTCATGTGTCAGTTGCTCCTAGTTGTTTCCTGGTATTAGTAATTAGCAAACTGCTCTGGAATCAAAGGTTTGGTTCTTTAGTTTGATTAGCATTCTGTTATTTGAAGTGCTGTTTGCTGAAATTAGGGGAAAATGCCTTTCACAGACATCCTCTCCGAGCCTTACACACGGTTGCTACAGGCGTATGGACAGCACTCTAAGGTGCACTGCCAGCAGATTCGATACTTTTCATTTCGCCAGAGAGGAATGTCTTCTAAGAAAGATTTAGGAATCAGCTGATCGAAGGTAACAATTGTTTCACTTTTTTATGGAATGAAAAACTACAGTGTTTCTCATCGACAACACTGTTTGGAGAGGTTGTCGTGTATTTGGGGATGTTTCTGGAAGCACCCCTTGGAGAAGCTCCCCGAGGAACTGCTTCTCCAGGTTGTACCAGATTGTTTTTCTCCTTAAATGTATTGTACGTGTTTTCCTCACAATGGCTTCACTGGTTGAATGAGTAATAGCCGTAGTAATATAGTTTAGGGCCCTGTTGGATTTTTAAAGGAAGATTATTTATTTTCAAATTTGCTGCTATAATTGAAACCTACTAACTGGTCCCGTTCACTGTGCCTTTCATCACCGTTTCTCTGTGCCACAGCCGTTCATGTGTATTTGAAATAAAGGTGTAAAAAGCCATGTTGAATTCAAGATTCCTTCTAATAAAAATAGGTAAAACGTAATGAGTAGCAAGTTTTTTATTAGTTTTCTTTAACACTGATACAATGGTTTCTTGAACTATTTTCAGTTAGAAAACAGGAGTGGATCTTCTATGTGGGTTTTGGAAAGTCTGTACATAAAAGCCTTTGTGTAGACAGTGATTGTCAATGTCACACAGGTGCTCCTTCATGTATTACGTACACTATCTAGTTCCCAAGATAAGAGGAGCCACCACGGGCCTCTTGAGTCTCATGTAGTTTGTTTGTTGGGGGGTTTTTTTGCATAGAAAATGCTGTTGATATTTTAGGGCCTGTAGTGATGCCTATTTGAGTTACATTACAGGCTGAGGACAGCCCATTAGAAATGGGGGCAGGCTGTGTGCCTTGTCAGTAATGGGGGGGCTTATGATGATTCTCATGTTCTCCAGATGGACACTTTCAAAAACAGTCAATTCACATTAAAGTCTTACCTTTTTATTTTCCTCATGCCCTTAGTACTTTTGATGTCATTCTTGTGTGTGCAAATATTAGAATGAATAAAATACATCCTTTAGTTTAAAAAATATTTATTATAGAAATGTACATTTAATTAGTTTTAAGGAATGTACTCAACAGTAGTGTTAACCTATATATTTCCTCCAGTTTGCAAACTTTACACCTTTAAGATATCTACAATGATAGTTTATTTACAAGTTTCGTAAGACGTCATCATCGCCAATACTGCAGACACGGTCACGATGTAATACTCTCACTTCTTCTCTTCATTTCACCCTGTACTTGTAGAAGGAGCACAGCGTGTGGGTGAAGTTCCATCCTAGCGCTAGTGACAGTCCATACAGGAGAATGAGAGGTGCAAATGGGTAGAGAAGAATGACTGTATTTTTCAAAAATGGCAATGCTGGAAAAGAAATCCAAATTATTTTTAAAAGAAGGAAATATGACTAATAAACGAACATTCTGAAAGACAGCTCTTACTACAACACGTGGGGCCAAAAAGGAATGTGTATTTTGGGTAAGATGATGCGACAGCCAGCCAGAACTATCCTACTCTTGCTACTCTTCTGTGTTGCTTCCTCCTCATTCACAGCTGTGAAGAAACCGAGCAGAGGCATGATTTCACCACAAAGGCTGAGTGAGAAGCAAATCCAGGACTAAGAGATTAAGAGCGAGGGACAAGCATCACAAATATTAATAAAACAGTGAATTTAAACCTGTGACTGCTTCAAAAGCCTCTAAGAGTCCATCTACAGGTAGCAACTGAGATGGATATTATAGGAAAAAGCAACTCTCAGCGATTTGAGATTTCCCAGGGTAGCCAGCGTTATCCCTCCACCTTGAGGGGTGAGATCTCTCACTAAAACTATCAAATATAAAATCTGTCCCCAGATAGCCACGTTTCTTTCCTGCTCACTGCTTACTTCATGCGTTCTAACCTAAATATTTCTCATCCAGCAAGTCCCCAAACTGAACGCGAGCTGTACGCAAAGAAACTGTTCTAACTGCAGGGAGTTACCAGGAGGGTGATCAACAGTCCACTCAGAGAAACCACAATGGTGCGCTGTGCTGATCACAATTTAGAACTTTCTCAAAACACGTGAAAACTCAGTAGAAACCTGAACATAACATGTCACAAACATCTCCCCTGAACTAGAGAAAGGACTCCCAATGCCCCAAATGAGGTATTATAATTAGAGGGGGGCTCAGTGGTCCCTGGCAAAGCAGCAAGGAGGTGGAGTGGGAACAAGGGCTCTGACCAGAGGAGCCAGTCCTATGTTGAGTCCGAGTGGTCTGTATTTACCGTGAGGTCCTGGCTACCCAGAGTGACGAGAAAGGAAGGGCTAAAAACAACACAACGCTCACAAATCATCATCAGATCTCTAGATTTAACTTAGCTCTATTTAATGGAGATCATTTCCCAACATAAATGAAGAGTAATGTAAATATGTTTCCCATTCATATTAAGAAAAATGAACTGGGAGCAGGTTTTAACAATAAGTTTGCAAACATATCCTGAGGTCAAGAGAAGTCTGGCCTGATCTTCTGTGATCATCTACAGAACCATACAATGATCATAAAAACAGAAAACAAGGCAAGGGTTTTAAATATACTCAAGTTCATATACCTATGTGCCAGACACGAGGCCCAACCCTTTCCTCACTCTAACCTGCTGCTGGTAACCTAGGACCCCAGAGCCTGGGAGAAAAAGAGGAAACTGATGGTGAGTTCCTGCAAGTAACTTGGAGATAATCAATATGGGTTAACATGGTTCCTTGAAATTATAAAATTTGTTATATATCAGCCATGCCACTTTCTAGCTGCATGACCATTGGCAAATTACTTAATCTCTCTGGGCCTGTCCCCTCATTTGAAAAATGGGGATAAGTAAACCTATATAAAAAAATTGTGAAGATTAAATGAGATAACTCATATAAAATACTTGGGACAGTACCTGAAAGCGCTCCAATAAAGGAAGCTAATTGTTTTACAATTGTGCTACAACTTTTCACCTCCCTGTTACGTTTTCAGTCGACCAAAAAAAGTAATTACTTACCACTGTATCCTAGGAAGGTTACATAGATATAATAGCCAACTGCAACCAACCATAAGGTATTTCCAACTAAATATCCAATAAATGTGTCTGTTAGGATAACATCTGTGAAAGAGATGCATACAATGAATCTCTTTTCAGTGCGTACAATGAAGACTTTTTGATAATCTCTTCGGAAGTAACTGTTACTTACGGTTAATGAAAAAAAGCTGGATAAAATGCAGAATGACTAGGAGAGGATAAAAAGCATTCAGATGCACATCGAAGGCATAGCCCCACTCCACATCGTAGTCTCTGCTTTGCCGTTTCACTAAATACTTGTTAGAGATAAACCTGAAGAAAAGTTAAAATTTCTTTCATAATACAATAAAGTTAATTCTATAAATATTTACTGACTACCTTCTAGGTACCAAACGCTATTCTAGATACCAGAGATATAGCTGTAAACAAAACAGACAAAAATCTGTGCCTTCAATCTAGTGGGAGTAGACTGACAAAAATATAAATATATGTCAGATGGTACTATGAAGAAAAATAAAGCAGAAAAGGATAAAGAATACAAAGTTGAGGGGCCAGCCCAGTGGTGCAGTGGTTAAGTTCATGCACTGCACTTTGGGGGCCTGGGGTTCATGGGTTCAGATCCCAGGTGCAGGCCTACACACTGCTTGTTAAGCCATGCTCTGGAGGCATCCCACATACAAAACAGAGGAAGACTGGCACAGATGTTGGCTCAGGGCCAGTCCTCCTCACCAAAAAAAGAAAAAAGAATACAAAGTTGAAAAGCAATGTTAAATATGACGGTCATAAGAAAGTAACGTGTGTAAAGGCCAAAGGGCAGTGATAGGAATTACCGGGGGCAGAGCATTCTAGGCAGAGGACAGTCTGTGTATGGACAGAGAGGTGTGGTAGAGTACAAAGAAGGTGGCAGGAGGCCTGGCATGTTTGAGGAATGAGTGAGGAGACCAGTGTGTCTGGAACAAGTGAGAAGAGCAGCAAGAAACAAAATCAGAAAACAAACAGGAAGCTAGGTCTTATAGAGCCTGTGGCCATTTTAAGACCTTTGGCTTTTATTCTTGGTGAAATAAGAAGTCACCGTGGAGTTCCCAGAAGTGTTGGACTTACTAGTTTGACAGGGTTCCTCTGGCAGCCGATCTGAGAACAGACTATAGGGACAAAAGTGGAAGTGGAGAGGCAAGCTGGGAGGCTACTGCGAGTAAGAGATGCCCAGGATGGTAGGAGTGGAGGTGGTGACATGTGGGAAGGCAGAGCCAACAGGATTCATTTAAGTACTGGATGTGGAGTATGAGAAAAAAAGAAGAGTCAAGGACGACTGGGAGATTTGTGCCTTAAACAAATGGAAAACTGAGGTGCCATTAACTGAGGTGGGGATGGCTGCAGAAAGTGGTTTTGGGGCAGGACGGAGAGCACAGGAGTTTGGATTTGGACCTATGTTGAAGATGCCTATTTGTGTAGAGAAAGAAGTATATATAAAGTCTACAGTTTAAAGGAGAGATACTAACTGGAGATATAAACTCATCGGTGTGTAAATGATACTCAAAATCCCTGGACCTGAATGAAATCACCCAATGAAAGAACGTAGAGAGAGGATATGTTCAGGGCCTAAGACCTGGGTCACGCCCCTATTAGAGGTCAGGGAATCAGGAGGAACCAGTAAAGAATGGCAGTGACATATCTACCATGAGAACAATTATTCAAGCCCATGTCACTGTTACACAGCATGGCCTGTTCATTGAGTTAACGATGAATGAATGAAAAGTAAAATATGCAGGTAATAGGAAAATTGATCTTCAAAGGAAAAGAACAAAAAGGGTCATTTATATTATAGACACAGCTGTGGGAGTTCAATGGACCCTTATATGTATGATTTCAAGGATACACTTAAGAAAATGCTATGCCTATGGTGGAAATAAAAATAGAAAAAATAAACGAGGAAGAGCATGGTATAGTACTAATAAAACAGTCCTGTACTCAGTTATCTGAAAATGTCAAAATAATAAAGCTTTGCTTGAACAAACTGGAACTTACCAAAACATCTTCCATTTTAGCCAAGAACGTGTGCCATTAAAATGAATACAATAAGGGTAGCCACAGTGTGGCACCCTCCTGGGACACTCCCCCCACCATACACACAAGCCCAGACACACTCCAGCTCCAGCTGTCTCGACAAGGTGGCCCTGGCACAGCACACCCCAGGACCTCTGGCCTGTGCCCACTCTAGCTCCTGCCATCCCGTCAGGGTGGCCCCGGCATGAAGCACCCCAGGACACCCCCAGCCTGTGTCTACTCCAGCTCCAGCTCTCTCACCATGATGGCCTGGATGTGGTGGAGGAGCACAATGAGAACTTCAACAAAGAGTTAGAAATTATAAGAAAGAACCAATCAGAGCTCAAGAATACAGTAACTGAAATGAAATATACACTAAAGGGAATCAACATCAGATTAGATGATACAGAAG